AACATAGCATCATGTATACGGACTGTGAATGAGTATTCCGCAGTCGGTAGCGCCCCACTGCAACGTTCTTACTTGTTTTTATCTGAAAATATGTAATGTAAGATATATGTATATAATATATATTTAAAAAATTTATGTGTAAAGTATATATGATTTCATTAATGGGTAACAAGGAGGCGGGGAGAAGGCGTGGTCAAATCGTAAAAAAAAAATTCGAAATTCTAACTTTGTCTATCTTAGGTGTATGTAAAATTTCAATCTCCTAGCTCTATTTTTAGAGTTTATGCCAAAGTTTTGGGCTTTTTTCCTATAGTGCATTGTAAAAGCTCTATGGACATATGCAATCTCGATCTAAGGCACCTCTAACGCCACTAATCGTGATATCATTCATCGCTTCCAAAGCAAAGTCCTGAGACTGATCTCTGCCGCCAACATGTACACCACAAACGTGGAACTACACGAATTGCTTGGCGTCCCTTTTGTACAGGACGAAGTGGCCAGACTGTCCACCAACTACCTGTCACGTCTGGACAGGCACACCAACCTTCTAGCGATCAACCTCCTTGATACTAGCGCCACAACCAGAAGACTGAGAAGACACCATCAGCTAGATCTCCCGCACTTTGCGGATCAGTAACTTCTAGTTCCACGTTGCTCACATACACACGTTTTGTATTACCGCTGATTTTAAGCCTCCGTCAATGTCCACTTGTTGTAAACTAGAAGAATATGGATACAAAGCGTGACATAGGTGGCGGATGCAAGGCTCGTGGAATCACTATATCGAATACCTCTCCAGGGTCCGGTTGAAATTATTTTATTCGTGATTGACAACTGTCGTATGCTAAATGTTTGGGGCTTTAATTATTTTGTTGATTAACAAAATATGTTTTTTCACCGTAGATTGTGGTATTTTTGCCATTTTCAATAAAACTATGAAATGTATTATAAATTCGTTTATTATGACAATTTAAATGTAATTAAATATACATTCTCTAAATACATAGGTTTTTATAAACGTACAAAAAATAGTATTCGGTTTGCTTTTGGTTGGATGTTTTTCACAAGACTAATTCGTTGTAAGTACACAGTTTAGTGAAAAATATAGAGCTTGTAATTAATTTGAGGTAAAAAAATAATGGCTAAATAAATACAATTCTCAAATACAAAGATTGATTTTATTTGTATTTTACTTTATTAAATGACAATTACGATTATACATTTTTAAATTCAAAAACAATTTTTGTTCACTTAATTTATAAGAATAATCAGGTTTGTAATGTATCATCTAAGTCTTCTTCCCTTACTACTGTATGAGCTGTGACTCTTTTTAGAACTTTTGTCACCACATCATTTAATGAATCTATTGCCCCTGTTTCTAGCACATCACATGTTTTCTTTAACATTGTTTCATCTGATCTTAGCCTTAATATAGATATAAGGGCTAATTCTGAGTTGGACTTAACATACCCATTTTTCTCTTTAGTACCATTTACTAATGTTGGAACTAAAACTTTCAATACGTCCACATGTATTTGATCAGGGGAAAGATTTTTTGAAAGGTGGATGCAACTTTTTGCAACTAACTGTTTTACGTCATTACTGCTATGGTTCATCGCTCTACCTAGTGCCACTATAACACTATTTGGAGGATCTTCTCTTTCAACTAGTTTGTGTTCTAAAAGATAAGTGGCAGCTCTAACCGCATTACAAGCAATCGGTACTTTTTCAGAGATTATGTTCAACAATATGTTGTCAATTACTCTATCATGAACGTTTGCTGTCAATACCTTATTAGGACATTCTTTTAAAGCGACAAAGAGAATAATTGTATATCCATGTTTAATAAATGAATCATCAGAATTATCTGTAAGTAGGCAATTATTCAACAAATCAGAAACTTGAACTGATGGCATATATTTTATCATAGCACCTAAACAACCACCAACTGCATTTCTAGTATTATCTTCTTGATGCCCAATAAGACTTATTAACGTACAAAAAATTTGTTTCTTTATTTGCTCAGACATTTTGTCTCCTGATGGACTAATAATGCTACGGAGTGCATGCAACATAGTTTCTCTAACAGCGGAATCGTCAGAACTTTTTATACCATTATGAATTTCGATGAACAATGGATCAGCCCTAGAATGAATAACCACCAATTCTGATAATGCTTTTCCCGCTTTCATTCGAACATTTCTATTTTGATCATGTAGTGCTTTCAAGAAAGTGGTTTGAAGTTGTGGTAAAAATTGCTTTAGTATAACTCCAACTTTGTGAAGCAAAATTGCTAATGTCTCCAATACAGCGGCTTTAACACCAGAATTGAATCGATCTCCTAAAATTCGAATTAATGGACCAGTTATATGAACGACGGAGGGTTGTAAGGAATTTGCGCTGGTTAAAAATATAACTTCACCAAGCCCTTGTGCTGCATTTTCTTTTTCTTCTGGTAGCCCATTTAAAATTGCTTCACGAAAAACTGGCAATAAAGGTGTTATTCCCTTTGGAAGGCAAAAACCTGGTAATTCTGGTTCCTTTAGTTCACTAGCAGCAAACCTCACGGCTTGGCGAAGATCTGATACGTAACCAATTTGATCAGTAGGACTTAATCCTTTTATTACAGCACTTAAGGCTTCCCAAGCGTTTTGTATTATAACTTTATCTTCATCGGCCATTAAACGAAGCAAACAACGAAGTAGTTGAGGAATATATTGAGAATAATCTCCGGGTGAATGAATGCAAAAAGCAGCAAGTAAGCTAGCTGATGATTTACGAGTACATACGTTTTCCGACTTTGCTGACATCATAAGTGTATCCATAATGGTTCGCACTCCAACTTCATCCGCCACAGACAAAATTACCGTTTGGCAGTACTCCAACTCCTGTATTTCATTAACAGACCCATAGGATTCAGACAATGTTTCTAACAAAGCGGATAAAATTTTTGGTAGATATTTAGTTAACGCATCACCAGCCACAGAAACTAATATGGATAAGGCTTTTGTGTTTACTGGTTGGGCCGTTAGCTGCGGAACCAGAAAAGGCAAGACAACTCGGGATTTGATAGACATTACTTGACGCAACCCATCTAATGTATTTTCAGCAACCAATGGATCTGGATCGGAAAGCCTTTCTAACATATATGGAAGAATGTCATCAAGTGCTCGTGATCCTACAGTACTATGCAACGAATCAAAAGTCTTTGCAGCTGCTACTCTAACTTCAGGCAAAGGATCAGTTAAAGCTTTACGTACGGTGGGAACTAAACTATTAACAAATGTTAGAACCATTTCTTTTGACGTCGATGTCATTATTTCCGACAAGCCGATGCAAACACCTTGTCTTTGGTCTGGATGCTCTGAATTTAATCCACTTTCAAGTATAGGAATTATTTCAGGTAAAACTCGTTCCCCAAGTTTTCGTACTAGATCTCCTAAGGTTCTCGCAGCAACTTGCCGTTTATCATAGCTTGTACTTGCTAAGCAACCTAATAACAATCCAAATAATGTTGGCAATATTTCCCTTAATGTCCTAGGAGTGTTTGTAACAACTATTTTCCAAACATGAAGTGCTGATTGACGGACCATTAACGATACGTCACTGCGACCCATATAAAGACCAGACAAAACTCTGTTACGTCGTTCATCCCCTAAGAAACGAATTATTGCAGTATGGGACTGTTCTGTACCAAAATTATCATCCTCACTTGCCGTTTCAGTTGTCATTTTTCCAGATACGCCTGATATGCGATACAATAAGTCTCCAAGTAGTTGAACCGAGCTATATCTTATTCGCCAGTTCTCGTCAAATAAACCCTTTTCTAACTCGGGTAACAAAAGTGCAACAGCAGTTTCTGCATATAAATTTACTATGCGTTGTCCAGCTCTTAGAGCTGTGTCGCGTACATATTCACTTTCATCTGCTAATGCCTTAAGAATAGGATTAATTATTTGGCCAATATAAGGTGTAAATTCTTCTGGAAAAGCACCTGGCATATATATAAACATCATTATATATCCATCTTTAACATGAGGAGCAATATCAGTTCGTTCTGCAGTAGAAATTATTTCTGGCATAAGTTTATGCATTTTTTCTACACCTAGTCCTCCAACAACTTCAGAAAGGCCTTGAGCTGCGCCACTACGGTCGACACTACTAGACTCTGATGTTAGAGTTTGCATTAACCATGGAAGTAGGTCCTCAAAGGAGGTTTCACCCATGCCCTTAACCATTGCTCCAAGAGCACGAGCAGATACTGCTCTAACTTCTGGAACAGGATCTAGTAACGAAGATTTCAAGCCAGGAATTATGCTTGGAAGGTATGGAGTCAAATCTTTTTGGTCTGTAAGTGAATACATATTTCCGATAATTTGGGCAGCCATTTTTCTTGTTTCTGTAGATCGATCCATAAACGCTCTTTGAACTACTGGCATAATTAGAGCTAAAGAAGGGGCATCAATAAAGTGAATAAATTTAGTTTTCAATAAACTTTGGAGACAGACGGATGTATTATTAGAAGGATCCTCTAACGCTTTTAATAAAACCGGAACGATAGCTTGAATTTCTGGATTTTTAATAACGGATCCTATTACCTTAAGGGCGTCTGCTCCAGCTTCTTGTACTTTTGTATGGGAATCACCAAGAACTTCTATTAATTTTGGAACTATACTAGGCAAACAAGACGACAACTGTTTAGGAGCACAGAATGCCATAGCACCTAATAACTCAACAGAAGCTGTTTTTGTTCTCCAGGAATCTTCATCTAAAGCTTGCAATAACGATGGCAGTACCAATTTAACACCATGAGCAGATAGCTTCGCCATAACAACTTTGGCAGTATCATCTGCAGCTTGTCGAACATATTGGGAGGAATCCCCAAAACACTGTAATAAGTGAGGTAATACATGGACTATATACGGCTCGAATAAGCGACCAAGAGTAGTACATAAAATTTCAAACGCGAATAGAGCACCTTCACGACATCTATAATTTTTTTTGTCTTGTATATACGATGTTAATTTTGACATTATGTCCAACTGCTTAAGAGACAAAATTCCAAGTCCTTTCACAATACCAGCTATTCCATACGCAGCACCTCTTCTTTCTCCGTATTTATCAGATTTAGCCAATGAATGCAATAGTTTTTTGATCATGGCCGGAGCTTCGTCTTTAACAGACGGCATTAGATGTGGTAAACAATTAGACACTGCTTCTTGAACTTGTTGGGAAGGAGTAGATAATGCAGTTATTAGTCGTTTGACTATTGGATCAATTCTTTCATCTTCTTTTTCTAAATGCCTAGCCAAGGAACCCATAAGTATTACAACAGCCTGACGTATATTATCAAAACTTTGCGACTTTGGTGCTTTATCAAGAAACTCCTCAAAAACTGGTAGTAAGCTTACAATTGTATCCTTTCCATGCAAATCTACTACCTTCAAAGCAGCAGCTAACATTTCTTTATGGACAATGTCCTCTCGGTCACCGAGGCCATTCGATACCATAAATTGCATTAGATAATTTATATCTTCAATAGATAAAAATTGTGCAATTTGAGATATTGCTATTGCGACACCTCTTCTAGGTTGCCATTGATCTGATGCAGGTTCAATTTCTCGGTCAAACTTATCAAGTTTTGGAGGAATTAAAGTAAGTTTTTCATTATAAATATCTAACATTTTCAATAATCCATATTTTATTAATTTGTCGTTATTTCTTATTATTGGTATTAGGGACTCCGCCGATGCTTTTTGTATACAGAGTTCTGAATGTGTGATATCAAAAATAATATCGTCAAACTCGGGATACGAAAAGTTTGTAGTATCCCAAATTTCGGCAGCAAGCTGTCGTACATCTGGATTAATATCAAATTTTGCTATCCACAATCTCGACATTAATTGATTTTTCAAATCAACATTATTTTTCGCATAATCAATTATTGGGTTAATCATTATTTTAATTGCGCGTAAGGATACATCCCTTATAGTTTCGTTTTTATTTTGCAAGCTTTCCAAAAATAATTGAATTGTATCATTATCTGGTGTAGAATTGAATTTTTCGCCAGATGAAATACTAGCTACTTCTAAGAGAGCATTTACAGCTTGAGTTTGAATATGCGTCGAATGGTTTTGCATCAAATACAATAATATGCGAAACATACCCAGTCTGGGCAAGTACTTCGGATGGTTAAGTTCAATAGATGTATTTTCAATTTTAACGTGGATTTCGACCAATTTTATACTTATTAATATAAGTTCTTCGTTGGTGTTATTATTGAAGTAAGTGATAGCACGTTTAAGGAACTCAAAAGCATATGAAAAAGACTGTGAGTCCAAAATGTTTGAGTTTGTAATTACATGATTTTTTAGATCTGATATTATATCTACAATGCACTCATTTATATTTTGGGCATTCCATTCATCTTTTAAATTGCAAGATGGTTTCTGAAGTCTGATAGTTGCAATGGAAATAGATCGACCTAATTCAGTATTATTTTTAAAACACATTTTATGTAAGAAGTAGTAAAGATCTGTTAACGGTTCAGCACTTAAAGGGCTTTGAGAGGCACATAAAATATCATCCAATAAGGTATAAAAATTTAACGAAATGTATTTTTCATTTCCAGCACAAGAAGCTTTTAACAAACTTATTATAGAAATCAATTTCTCATACATGCCTTGCACACGTAGCTTAACACGCAATTCTTTCTCTGTTTGGTTTTTGATTAATTCCTGTTGTTTTTGGGTTAGTTTTATAGTCTTCGATTTACCTTCTTTTTGGCGTTTCTCGTCAATTTCACGACGAAGTTGAATTTCTTCTAACTGTTCTTTATAGCTGTAAACTTTATTTTCTCTTTTAACACCAATAGTCTTATATTGTGAATCAGCGTGTGGTATTACGCTTTTGTCATACAATTCACCTTCTGGTGTCATAAAGATAAAAAATTCCTCATTACTTACGGAGAAATTGCTTTCAGCTTTCAGAAACATTTTTACATGATTTATTATATGGGGCACTATTATATGTGGGTTAATTCGAACTATTGACGATATAATATTTTCGTAAACTGGACATATTTTAAAATTATCTATATACTTTTCAATAACTTGCTTGTCATTATTTTTAATAAAGTTTTCAGGGTTTAAATTGAAGTTTTTTTGAATAGTTTTTTCCCAAAAGAATGGGCTATGGGATAATATGGTTGGATAGTTAGCAATTTCTAAAAGAGTTAATGTAAACTGAAGGGAATCTTCGTATGATACATTTTGTACCCCAAATAATACTTCTAACGCATCTACATATGCTTGAGAACTAGCATTATCGTTACTATTGTCTAATTCATTCGGATACTTTAAAGAACTTATAAGTTTACTATACTCTTTAAGAGCAAGTTTAACAAAATCTACGCCATCAGAACTTTTTGTGATTTCTTCAATTTGATCTTTAGTATAAGTTCTCACTTTAGGTATACAAGAACATAAGTTATTAAGTAATGCTTTATGCAATGATTCCCTCGGACCTTTTAGCTGGTCTAAATATGATTTAAATAAGACCTTTGCTATAAATGAAATGTGGCACAAAGTTTCTGCTGATGCTGAAGCTAATAGTTTATCATTAAAGAAATATAGTTTATTCATATCAAACAGCGAATTCCAAAAGAATGAATATAACTCAGATGGCTTTTCTAATATCAGCAAAAGACAGGCTATACATGCAGCTTCTGATAAGTTAGATAATTGAGAGGACTGTAGCAATGCTTTTGAATATAAGGAATATAATATGGGAACTATATTTTCCGTGTTTTTAACGTCAGCATTTTGTATGGATGAAAGCAACCATTCAAGATAACTCTGTCGAATAGCTTGATTTGAGTTTTTATGTTCTATTCCATTTTTAAAAATTCTTATAATTACAGTGGGTACCTCATCCTTAAACCTACCGCACCACAACGCAAACATTTCTAGTGTACAGCATATCACTTTTTCCTGGGATTCAGTATCAAGCACCTTGCTAAATAGATCGACAGCCAAACTTAATATTTCGGGTAAATCATTAGCGCTTACGTCGTTAAAGCTTAAATATCCAGCTCCCTGCAATGAGAAAAATGGATTTTTATTAAAATAGTGAATATTTTTTAGTCGAGTGCTGGCAACTGCAAAATACTCATTGTACTCATTCATGAACGAGAAATGAGTGTATTGTGTTGTGAACGCAGTTTATGTCGGCGCTATTGGAGCATTTTCCGATATACCAGAAATCATATCGCTGAAGCTGAAGAGCTATGAGGCTATAATTTTGAATGTAGAGCTGTGTCGACCACCCAAGATCAAGAGCTATGGCGGATATACAGTCATGATGAAAATAATAATACAACTAAATTATTTTAGGTCATAACCATAGCTCGCAAATAACTGTTGACACTTTTCCGTTGTCTGAAAATAAATGTTTTTCACTCACACAATAAAAAAGACTGTCAGAAACTGATTTTTTCGCGTCTGGCCTAGCTCGTTCGCACTTTGAGCAAGACAGTTATTTCTGTTTTCGTTTCGCTGAAGTCAAGCATTTACCGTTTGCTTGAGTTAAATGAAGCAAACTGTCTTCTGCGTTTGTATGGGTAATTACACGCTATGGTTATATGGGTAATTACACGCTATATATGTACACGAAGGCAAAGATCATTTCTGTTGAGTTTTGCAGTCAAACTGTCTTTTGCTGAGAGTCTTTGGGTGAACAAAAATCGTATTACTCTTTACGCGACACTCATTTAAGAGCGTCATACGACTGAATCATTGCAATGCGTCTGACCGAAACCGATTCTAAACAAAACAAAGAAGCCGCTCAGAGCGAGATCGTGTCTGCACAATCTTTTCGGTTATGTTACGAAGCATATACGAAAACACGATCAACTCTCATTTGATAGCTCTGATTTTTAGTGATAAATTCGATAGGCGCGTAATACACGCGGACCTAGCAAACAAATTTCAAGTCTCTAGCTCTTATATCTTCTGAGACACCCTGAACCGTCTAATCTGATATTCTACTCACTCTACACTTCCTTTACGCACACATACATCCACACGCACGCATTAGAACGCGCTCTGCTAACTAGGCAGTAAGCTGCGCCTGCGCTCCAGTGTGGTCAAAATAATACAAATTTATTTGTTGAATAATTTAATTTCTATATGTACGATCGTAATGAAACTTTCAGAACGTAAACACAATGTTTAACTGTATGTACATTTCAAAGCACAAGTGTCTAGTACTTGAAATACGCCGTTTACAATGGTGAGGGTGAGGGGGTGAATTTAGGGATGGGGGGTAAATAATAACAAAAATCGAAATTATATAAAATACACATAAGTCTACATTTAAAATTTGGAAGCTCTAGCTCTAAAGGTGTAGAATATATAATTAAATAGCAAGCTTTCGATAAGGTTTTTAATCGATAATAAAATATCGGGAGCTGTTATCGATTTTTAGTGATAAACTTGATATGCGCGTGATACACACGGACCTAGCTCTTATATCTTCTGAGATCGACGTGTTCATACATACGGACAGAAAGACAGACAGACGGACAGGACCAAATCGACTCAGCTTGTCGCCCTGATCAAAAATATATATACTTTGTGGGATCTGCCACGCCTCCTTCTACCTGTTACATACTCTTAACAAAACCATTATACCCTGATTTCCCATTTTCAATGGG